TTTTGCGAACGTACAGATAAATTCACTTTCACATACATGAAGCTGTTTCAAATGATAAACGATTGATCTCATAATTATGTAGACAAAGTGGCTGTAGTTTTTTTTTAATGAGTGATAGCTTAAAATGTGTTAGTTTTAATTGCACTACCATGTTTTGTCTTTCAAGATATCAAGTATAAAATAAAACTATTATTCCTAATTAGTACCTCAAGTTGAGAATTCAACTTATTATAGACTTTTGTCGCTAACACGCTCTAATTGTATAAAAAAATGATAGTGTATCTGGTATTATGTATCTATAGTTCACACAATGTTTTGATAGAGAATTTAAATAAATGTTAAAGATGAAAACTAATTTTTTTTGTATTTGTAATTTGTTTCAGATTTTAAAATAATACACATAATTTTTATGTACGTAGAATAAACATGTAATTTATTTAGACATCTGCTTACATATTTAAATTTCCTGATTATTTTTAATAATCATTGATGTTTTTAGGTGGTTATTCAAAGTAATATCTCTTTTCTCACATTAATGAACAGGCTTATGCTGTTTAAAAATCAAAATAGATAATCACGTTTTATATAATAATTAATATAATCTCAACTGAGTATGCGTACCAAAGTCATCTCGGTGCGGAGATGCATAATCATAATAATTAAGAAAAAAAATTTTTCTTTATTTAGGCAAAAAGTTGTTAGAGACAGTAAATTGTGATTATTGCATAATTCACCTAATAATAACATCTTTTTTTGTCCACATGTAACGTAAAAAAAAAATTTTAATTTTATGTACATGGTATCAGCAATCGAACGGAAAAGAAAATATATGACTAGTAGTGTAGAAATGAAAATAAAAAAATGGAAAGAAGCAAAAGATTAAAAAGGTTAAGCATTAGATAAATTTGGTACAGCAAAAGTAAATGAGTCAATCTCAAGAGAAAAAACGGAGGAACAAAATGTAAAAACAGAAAGTCAAATGCAACTATAAAATGATTAAAACTTTACCAATAATTTTATTTAAAATTTTGGTGAAATAATTACTGAACATTATTCTAGTTCTACTAAAATGGTTAGCAATGACCCTGGCACTTGAATATATATTTCGCAAAATAAGAAAAATTTTATTATTTTAATAGACCCACAGAAAAATTTATAATTTTTTCCGAAATATTCGCACGGCTGTTCATCCCCTACAGATACTGCCAGTATACAGCTCATGAAAATTGAGAAAGTTTTACGAGATTGGCTTATTCATAGGTCAATGATGGCTGGGCTATTTGGTTTTCGCTATGCATTATTTTGAAATGTTTGCAAAAAGTTATCAAGCAATTCCAGATTCGTTATTGAAGGGAGAGGCACTAATAATAATTAAAGAAAGTTACATAAGAAAGTTAAAAGTTATGAAAATAACTTGGCTCACATAACTAATTATATCCAAAGAAAAAATCGTGAAAATAATTGAATCAACACTGCTGGTACTGACAATTCTTTTGAATTGCAGATCTGTGAAGGAAAAGAAAGATGACAAAAAATTGTAGGTTGTTATGCTGATATTATACTTTATTTAGCTAAACTTTATTTGCCTTGAAAAGGAGAAGAATAACGTTAGAATATAACAACTGTGCCTTTTTTTTACCAACTGTAAAAACTTTAAGCAATTATGATAATGGTTCAAAGTCTCTTGTTTATCCAGTATTAGATCATAGTGAGCCTGGGAAAAAAATTACTCATCACTTGTAATGGTAAAGCCAAAATGAGTTTTTAGAAATTTGTGCGAATGAAGTGTGGAATTTTGTCAAGCAGGAAATTAAAAAAGCTTATTTTTACAGCATCATTGGGAATAAAACACATGATGTATCTCACACTGAACAGGTTGTTATTAAAATAGAATATTAAGTAGAAAAAAATAATTAGTGGATCACGAATTACCGCGATTTCTATATACATTTGATTTATTTCAATTGCTGTTTAGTGATTGAAATTGTGATTTATGTATAATGTTAGTTTTCGTATGTTAAGATGCGAGCATTCTATGATTTATGATATTACTTCAAATAGTTAATGATAAAAATAGTTTTAAGAAGCTAGCAAAATAAGCGTTTGTTTTTTATAATTTTAGTAACGAATTTTTTACAAATGATTAAAGTAAGTGGAGCGAGCCACATCTGGCGCAAGTTATCTTGCAGTCATCAAGCCAAATTTGTGTTCATGGACCTCGTACGGAGTTTTACTCTTGATAGGAAGGTCAAATTGCGTGCATGAGGTACATGTGTGTACTCGGGGCCGACTGGCTAACAGGTTCTGCTCCGTGGTATCTGTGACTGAATTTTAGTAACAAAACTGAAAAGTTTATACTACAGTGCTAACAGTCCTTGATCCTTTCATGTTTACGTCGTAAAAATATATTAATTCTACGTGTTATTCAAAAAGAGAATTTGATACTTGAAGACCACATATATAAGTACATATATGTGTGCCTATGACAACGGTAGGAAAAAAAGTAGAAGATCGAAACTACGACGCGGCAACGTCAGGTTTGTAAGAGCGGTGGCTCACGGCTAGAGCAAAAAGTTCAGATGCTCTAAAAGGGCGAAGCATTAAGGTTCATGTCAAGTATTAACCATATTGTAAATAAAAAAATGTAAGATTTTTTTGTGAATGTTGTGATTTCTTTTTATTATTTGCCTTCGCCCTTTGGTCCTCTCTCATCCTGACGTGTTCATGGGAAGTATTTAAAAGATTTTTAGGTTTAGTAAATTGCAAAAAAAAACAGGAGAACATATTTACAAACTCATTGTCAAACTTTTAGATAAGAATAAAATAAACTTTGAGTATCAGAAGACAAAGTTTCTTTAATGCTTCAAATATAAAGATATTCCAAGTAAAATTTTAGAAAAAAATCCTTCAGCCACGTTCATTTCGCGTGCGGCTCGTTTGTTCAATCTATATGGAGTTCATTTAATGGAAACTAACTCAAAAACTAAGATTTATTGTGGAAACATCCAGAAGCTTTACACTATATTTTCTTCGAGTCCAACATGACGAAAAATATTAAAAGATATAGCTCAAATTTCCCTTCAGTCAGTTTTAACTACAAGATGGAGTGCTCAAATTAAAGCTGTAGAACCACTCAAAAAAACTTTTCTATTAAATACATAAGCTCTTTTTCAAATTAAAAAAGTAAATTTGACCTCTGAAGTATAAGTAGACGTTTCAGGACTCATTGAATACCTACAGTCATTTGAATTTATCTTATTAATTGAATATTGGGAAAAAGTTTTAGAAGCAATTGACGATTGCAATAAAATCATGCAAAGTCTGACTTGAAATTGCTCGAAGCAAAAAACCAAATTTCATATTTACAAGATGAAGTACAAACCGTTAGAGAGTTGCGGGAAGATATTAAAATAAAGCCAAAAAAAGTCATTGATTTTAAAATTTCTGTTCAATGCAAAAAAACATTTCAAGCACTAAGACAAAAAATTTCATGATGAACACATGAGATAATTTGAATTCACCTGAACAAAAGTTTAAAGTCAAAGTTCTTAACAGTGCTATGGATAATTTATTATCAGACTTGAATAGTTTACTTTACAGCATTAATTCACTATTTGATCTTTTCAACTATTTTAAAGAAATAATGATGAAATGTCAGAAGAAAAAATATCGGAGCCTTTTCAGCCTTTATTAGATGGATATCCTAATGATATGAATAAAAACATTTTAGTTCAGGAATTCCAGTTAATTCCTAAAATAAAAGAAACTTTAAGACCTAAAAATGTAGGAACAACTACATTTGCACTTGATTTGCTTAATTTAATCTATAGTAAAGGTTAAAAACTAATACTGCCACAAATATGTACATGTTTAAGACTTACTGTGATACCTATTGGTGTTGTACGTGGCGAACGCTTTTTTAGTAAATTGAAGTTAATAGAAAATTGTTTAATACCTTTTGTGGGCCAGGACTGTTGAAGTCATTATATTATATTTTCTTATTAACAGAACAAGAATTAGCAAATAATATTAGTTGCGACGATGTTATGAATGATTTTGAATAAAAGAATGGGGAAAAAATAAAAGTTTGTATAAATATTATTTTTTCTTAATATAACATTATTCTTTTTGTTTTTTTCACTGGGTTACTATGACAGTCTATTAACCTAGTCACTGGCTCCACCCACTCACCATCTATATGTAGGGGTGCATGCCACATCCACTTACCAATCCCTTAATTGATATCATACCTATCGTACATGGGCACAGTGAGAATATCTCTGGTGAAACACCTTGCCAGTTGAGCTGGGACTCTGATGCATCGGGTCTACTAGTCCCTGTGTAGCCTTTCCCTGGAGAAGACTTCATATTTCAAGACGTCCATTTCGCGCCAATTAAGCTGACGCTCTCTAATGTACCATCAGATTCATGTTAATTAGCATTCCTGGAAAATTTTTCTGGGACCACTCTTTGCCCGGTAAGGCTGTTGGTCCTAGCCTGGCGTCTGGCATTGTATGCGCTAATCCCTACTTATAAGCTCTAACATTGTTTTGCATTCACCCAGTCCCAAAGACCTGTAGGGCAAAGAAAAAATTCTAAAATCACTTTGAAGAAAAATCCCACGAAAAAACCTGCTCCGAAATAGCCGGGGTTTCATAGGAACTTTTTCCAGTAAAAAAAGTTTTTGAAAAAATCTGCACACACCGAGAATTGAACTCACAACTTCTAGAAAGGTGTTGCAATAGTAACAAGTACGATTACTACTAAGCCTAATACAGCTTCTCAAAAATAAAATTTACTAAATTCTTATTTTTCTTTGCGTTTCCTTATTATATACATACATTTATGATTTTCCATTTATATACTTACCTTATATCCTTTATTAGTCAACTTAACAAGATAGACGAATAATTTATAGTAATTTTTTGATTTTTCATCTATTTACATTTTTTTTATCGTCATGTTACTGCTTTATTCAATTATTTACGTATGTGTTACAGGATACCATCTGCTATAACATATGGATCTGGAGCAAGTTTGACATTACTGTATTTCACAGATTGGAAGTTAATATTGCAATATGTACCGTATTATGGAAAAAAGTTTCAAGAATGAGTTTCAAATAATGCTACGTAGCTTATATCATTGATCCGTAAACTTTTATAGCTTTAAACTTATGTAGTGTATGAACTATATTTTAAAATTATATGTGTTTTTTTAATAAAAAACGATCCTTTGTCTTTTTTTTAGCCTCATCGTTAACTTACTTTTTACCAAATCAAAAATAAATACTTCGCTTTCTTGATTACAGGGTATTTTATTTGTAAGAAAATAAAAATTTCTGTTACTGATTCCACTTTATTCTGATGCAAAAAATGTGTGGTAAAGTGTACTGTTCATTTATCCATGAGTAATTATAATCGAATTTATGAGCTTACTTTATAGTGTAAAATTGAGAATAGAGCTTGCAAACTTACTTAGTAGCCAAATAGTTTTTGAAATAGAAGTAGTAGAGAAATAATGACAACAACAAAAATAGTACGTTTGGCTGAGAAAGTACTAAAAGTTTGATCTAGTTTCTATGTGTAAGAAAAACACTATATGCAAAAAAACTAACCCGTGTGAAACACTTATAGAAATGTCTTATTCCAATGGACTCACTTTTTATCTCTCTCTCTGGAGTTGGTATATATGCTTAGAACATTACAAAGAAAACTATTGAGTCCAATACCTATTGCTACCATAGAAAAATAATATTTTTTAATGCTTTCTTGACATTAAAAATTGTTGTGTCCACTCATACATTTGTCGGCCTCCCTCAAACATGATATTACCCCTTGAACCCCATTATCCCACCAGTTTCTGACACAAGATCAAAATCCTTAGGATTCTGAAATTAAAACTCGCTGATTTAAATAAGTGACAGTAAAACAAATTAAGACAAAAATAATAAGCAACAAAACTACTTGCTAAAACTAAATTTTCACGTACTAGGAGTGACTGCTACAATTTTTACTTAAAGAAAGTTAGTACAAGCTTAAGGAGGCTCAACACACTATATATAGTCAACAATATATATAGGTGTAATCATGACCATAGCCATACATATTATTACTTCCACTGCAAAGCAGAACAAAAGCTTTTGTGTGCTTCATGTGGTGGTTGATGTTTACGTAGATATAACCTTTTATTGTACATAAGGAAAGTTAATATCAGTCGCTAAACAATGTCCACGAAATGTCTAATATAAGTTAATAAATAATTTAAATAAAAGCTTACGCATTACACATAACTATTTATATTCTAAATCATATGGTTTTTTTTATCAAACTGCACTACTTTGTTCCAAAGTAAAGAAATATGTTTATTCAATTCATTCACAATGAATTTTTGAATAAATTTCTGCTTGGTGCGTTTTTTGCAGACGACATTCTAACCTAAATTTTTCTAATCGTGTCTATTAGTGTACTTCAGAAGGAAATATCTCAATAAACTCCGTAGCAATCTTCATATTTCTTATGTTTTATTTAAAGTGCAATGGTTAAACTACATGTCTCTAGTTTTTTGTTCATGCAGAAAGTGATTTGAGAGAGTTATGATGAGATTTCCGGTGAAAAAAGTGCCGTCTCCATAACAGGCTATGTATAAGACGCTCACTTTTAACGCGTTTTACTAAAAATTTTCCGGTGCAACCTATGCTAAAATTTCGCATAGAGGTCAAAAACATACTCATTGACCGTATATTTCAATTTCATCCATTTCACAAGTACTTCGATAGGTGTGTTGAGCCTCCTTAATTCTTTAAAAGCTTCTTTCAACCCTTTAGAGTTATTATTAAAAATAAGCTTTTTATCATTTTTGTAATACTTTTATTAATCTCGTGAAATAAAAACGTCGAATACTACGCACGATTGTAGTAAAGTTAGCCATTTCTTCTTGGCGTGAAGTTGGCGCTTGAGTGTAGAGAGTAATGTTTGAGTCTGCTGTGTATTGTATGTTTAGATACGTACTTGTGATTGGTGTAAGTGGTGTATTGAATTAAGGCCATAAAGGATATGGTGAGCAGATGGATGCTCCTTGGGGGGGCATAAGAATTGAAGTCATGGTTACTCAGCTTATCATGGAGGTACATCTGATGGAAGCATATGTGATTAAAGACCTAGAGGATTCTCGGGGTCCTCAGTTTGCAAGCACGGCCATGGTGGCGTTAGGGTGGTCCGTAATAGAATCATGGATTCTGGACACAAGAACAGGGGCTGCTTGAATTTGTGGGACGATGTTGAACTCCTTGCAGATTTGAGTATTCCTGATGTTCCATGGAATTGACCTTAGTATCTTAATAAAAGGGCCTTGGATGCCTTTTAGTCGACTTTCCATTACAGCGCCCCACGTTGGTATGGCGTAGGCATTATTACTCCTGATGATGACACTGAAAGTGCGCAGCTTGATTTTCTGAAACTGCGTTGTTGTTGAAGAAAGGCTTAAGCTGTACGAAGGCTCCATGGCTGAAGTTGCCTGCCGAGGGTGACACCGAGGTATTTGGTGCAGTAGCTCCTGTCGATTTCTACTCTGTTAACCCTTATCGTTTGGAAGTTTTTCCTTGGATTTTTTAAGGAAACGAGCATGGCTGTAGTCTTTGTCTCATTAACGACCAGTTTCCAAAGACTATACCAGCTATGGAGACTGACAATACACTCATTCCGAAGGACAGTGCGCTAAAAGTATTGTTTTGGCGTGCAGCCGACTATGATGTCGATTGAGTAAACGCACGTGTTAATGTATTCGCGTTGGGGTAGGTTGCGTCAAAAGATATTAAAAAGGGTAGGTTAGTATTTAGAGTTTTGAGGGACTGCAGTGATTATTGAGCGGGATTTGAAGAGGGAGTCACCTACTTTAACGTGGATGAGTCTGTCTGGGAGGTAAGATTTGACAGTGTTGATAAGGTAATGTGAAAAATCTAACTGAATAAGTTTGCACCATAAACCGTCGTGCCTCGGGCCTCGTCGAAGGCCTGCTGTACGTCTAGGACAGCTGTTGCAGTAAAGTTTTTGTGGATGAGGTTCTCAGAGTGATCTTTAGTGACTCTTAAAAGCTGGTGTACTGCCGAGTTTTCGGCTCTAAAGTCGTACTGCACGTCTGAAAGGATGTTATTTTTCGTGATGTATTTATTAAAGTTGATGATAATAACGCTTTTGGCGATCTTATTAAGCGAAGAGAGTAAACTAAAGTGTCTATAACTTAAAGCATTGCTGAGAGGCTTTTCCGGCTCGGGAGTCAGATAAACGTAGCCTCCTTCCACCCGTTGGGAAAATAATAAAGAAGAATTGTGGCATTTCTGATATTGCAAATCTCCATAATAAATTTCTGAAGGAGGATTTTAAGGATTCTATTGGAGATTTTGTATCCACCACGAGCATCTGTTGCTGCACTGTGTGGTTAATTCTTAATATTTAGAACTTAGCTTGGAAGAGTATTAAAGTGGCAGTGAAACTTAAGATCCCTGCTTTGTCAGAATCTAGTGACTTGAGGATGTTCTTTGACAAGGGAGGAGAGGAGAAAGCCATTTGTCACGGAGTTTTTTAACGACCTTCCAAGCATTTCTTGGGTGGGATTCTACCTTAGCTATGAATCTATTAAATACCTTATTTCGGAATACAAAAATAAGAGATTTAACTTTTTTTTCAAGAGAGTTAAGGTAAACTTTTAGTTTTGGGGTTCCTTGGTTTTGCTAGAGTTTCTGGACTCTTTTTGTTCTTAGGGTTGTGGGGGAGTTGAAGTACGTGTTGGAAAGTTGTAGTTATCGCAGTGGTGTCTTGAGTACACCTGTTGAGTTTGTCAGTAAACTCGTGAGTTGCTATGTTGAGTTCCGTTTGGAATTTAATAGGATTACACTTGAAAAGAGAGGATTTAAAGTCATAGGCTAGGTAGACTTAGTCTATGTGGCTGGTGGTGACGGGTATGTTGAGGAGCAATCTAAGGGATCTCTAGGTACAGTGAATTATGGCTGCAAAGAAATTTTATAGAGGTTCGTAGTTCTGTAGGGATGGTGAAGTTTTTTGTCAGGAACATGTCTAAGTTATCCAGGTCATGATCTGAGAAGGAGCTAGATTAGTGGATTGGTCCAAGCAAAGTCTCATTAATGTTGATATCAAAATTACGCAAGTACTTAAAAAGCAAGCGTCCTATGAGATTTTCGTGTTTGGAACCCCACGATTTGAGTTCAGTTACGATAGTACAGATGTTGTAGTCAAACAGTGCGATTATTCAAGAGAGGTTAGGATTTTCGTCAAAAGAGGTTGGAGAGGGGTAGAAAAAGATGATTCAAATAAAAGCGGAGGAAGAGGTGTGTATAACGACTATAACTGCTTTGCAGTTGGCACCGTCTGTGCTTATAATACGATGACGAGTGCCCTTGCGAACAAGGATTGTCACTCCGCGATAGGATTGCGTGCATCTGTCTCGTTTGTGTACCCTGTAGTTTTGAATGTAGGCTGGCTTAGTGTTTTTTAGGTGGATTTTGGTGATGTTTGCAATTTTGATGTTTTTTATCTGTAGTACATGTACGAGTTCAGTCGTTTTGTGTGCGACGCTGTTTGCGTTCTAGCTGGGTAATGTAAAGTCTCTGGTCGAGGTGTATCAGCAGATTCCAAATGGATTGGAGAATAGTCTCGGTTGTGGGAGGTTTGTTAAGCAGAGGAGGTAACGGTCGAGCTCTTTCTTGCTTCAGTTCAGAGGATGCCACGTTTGCATATTACACCCTTGAGCGAGTAGTAGACGAGTGTTCAGCTGTGATACGGAAGGACGATTTTGCAAAAGTGAGAGAGAGTGGTGCCTTTTTAGGAGCAGAAGATCCTGTCTGAGGGATCTTTGGGCATCCTCAGTTAAAGGCGTGGTGCTGGCCATTGCAGTTTGCGCAGCGAAAGAGGGGCGGGGGGGTGGCCTGCATGTAATTTTTTTGGCAAGCTGCAGTGCCATGGTTTAAGGCTACAGAAACCACAGACGAAATTGGCGTGGCAGTGGGTAACCGTGTGGTTAAATTTCTAGTAGTGATGACATTAAAGGGTGTCATTTGACTTGCGTTTCTGTTAAATTCTGACAGAAGTATCCTGAGTGCTATGACATCGTAGATGACGTGAGAGTTGATATCCGCTGCATCTAGAGATACGGTGACTAGGGATCAGATGCGATCACCCTGGGTCATATGATAAACGCGACGGGTAGACGTAACCTTTGTCAGGAT